GAGATCTGGTGCTGTCTCTGATGGAGAGAGATGCTTTTTGGACCTTCCAGACACAGTAGGAGCCCACAGAGAGGGTCTTGCTGTCCCCCCCTCACCCCCACCCCAGACCCCAGCGGAGCCTGCACGAAAAGAGCATCGGGTTTCTGGGACACTTGGAGAGTCCCTGACCAGGTCCTGGCTGAGTGTGGGCTGGGGATGGAGCCCTGCCTGGAATCCTGATGCATCCTGAGACCTGGGACCAGCCTGCCTGTGGTGGAGGCCAGCCGAGGACATGTCCCTCCGGACCTCTCCAGACTTGGCCCAGAGGACCAAGGCTTGGGGCTTGTCTGGCTGGACCCCATTTTTGTCCCAACCTAGTGTCCCTTTGTCAGTTGGGTCCTGGGGAAAAGGGCCTGGCTTGGCCCACACGCGGGAAGGTTTGCCAAATGTGCTAGTTGCCACTAAAAGCTTGTAAACTGGGGCACAGGATGTTGTGGGGCCTGGGCGGGCCGAGGATGTGCTGTTTAGAAGTTCCAGAAGTTCCCTGCCTGTTGGGAGAGAGGAGTGTCCCTGCAGAACGGGAGGCCAGCCTTCCCTCTGGCGGCCCCTCAGCTCTGGGGGAGCTGTGTGTTCCCTGCTACTCCGCAGCTGGGAAAGACCAGAGGCCCTTTCAGGGGAAGGAGAAAGAGGGAGCCAGGCCTGACAGCACAGCGGTGAAGCCGGCATTTTCTACTCAGATGTGGGGCGCTCTAAAAGGCTATTTAGGGGAACGGTCGAGCTCAGAGCTTTGGTGCTAGGGGGATCTTACAGTCCTAGCTCGTCTGTAAGGCTAATTTGAAACAGTGGAATTTGGTAGTGGTTGGGATGCCTTTGTCTTGAGGCCCCATTTCCTGAGGGAGACATTATCTAAGAGGAGCCGATTTCTGCCCAGGCTGGTTTGGCTCAGCGGATAGAACATCGGCCTGCGGACTAAAGGGTCCCAGATATAATTCCACAATTCCAGCACAGGGCACATGTCCGTGTTGCGGGCTCGATCCCCCCCCCCCTGCCAGTAGGGGGCGTGCAGGAGGCAGCTAATCAATGATTCTCTCTCATCACTGATGTTTCTATCTATCTCCCTTCCTCTCTGAAATCCATAAAAAAAAAAAGTTTCAGCCAAAACCGGTTTGGCTCAGTGGATAGAGCGTCGGCCTGCGGACTGAAAGGTCCCGGGTTCGATTCCGGTCAAGGGCATGTACCTTGGTTGTGGGCACATCCCCAGTGGGAGGTGTGCAGGAGGCAGCTGATCGATGTTTCTCTCTCATCGATGTTTCTAGCTCTCTATCTCTCCCCCTTCCTCTCTGTAAAAAATCAATAAAATATATTTTAAAAAAAAAAGTTTCAAAAAAAAAAAAAGAGGAGCTGATTTCATTCATTCACTCATTGAACTCCTTGGTGCATTAAAAAACAAGACAAAAACAACAAACCTCAGAGGTCTGGCTCTGGCTTCTTTGAAGGTAACAGAGTTTGTGGCTTCGAGGGTATTTTCAGCTTGGAGCCATCATTTCTGTTTGTGCCTTTAAAATGTTCATTCACCACGGCATGTTCATTCACCCTGCACGTTATCAGGCTGGGCTTGTGAACGGCCAAGGGCAGTCAGCAGCAGAACCCAGGAAAGGAGTCAGGCAGGGCTGGTGTGGTCGAGGAGGTGGGAGTGTGGAGGACTGCGGTGAAGGGGGCACATCTGAGCACCCTCCACACGGAGCCTCACAGCCACAGAAGAGACCTTGCAGAGGGCTCTGTGCTGGGCTGAGGGGTTCCGGGCCCCTGAGGACGTGGGTGAACTGCCTTAGGAAGGTGGCACCTGGGTTCATCAGGGTGGGCGCAGGGGTGGGCAGGCCCCTGGCACAGGAAGCTTCTGAAAGAGGAGACCTGGATGGGGCACCAGGCAGATGAGAAAGACAGCAGAGAAAGAAAAGAAGCAGGGGCACCGCTGCAGCCTGGCCTGAACTAAACGATCCGTCTGGGGAGGGCCCAGGAGGCTGCCAACTTTTCTTTCTTTCTTTTTTTTTTTTTTTTGGAGGCTGCCAACTTTGATCTCATTTTCTGAACAGGCCTCTGGGTTACTTCTCATACCACCACCCAATCACCGGAGAGCTACCGCCTTCGGATGGAAGCGGCTCTTGGCAGACCTGTGAGCGTGTGCAGCTGGGCTGGGGCAGCACAGGCTGGGTGTGGGCCGGGAGGGGCTTTCGCTGGCTGGTGGAGCCCAGGAAAGCCTTCCACAGGCTTCGGTCCGAGGCAGAGCCGGGCGAGCGGGGAGCAGAAAGGCAGGGCTCAGGGCGAGGGCGGCGCCTGTCTCGTCCCCACTGTGTCCCACTGTCCAGCTCAGGCCAGGCTCACAGACAGGACCACTTGGAACTGAATGAGTGACGTGGTGTCTGAGCACACGGAGCGCTGAGCCCCTGCATCCCCGCTCCGTGCATTGTTCTTCCTCAGGGTTTAGAGAGTAATTGCGAATGTTTGCCTGACGTTCCCATCAGGAAGGCGCTTCTCTCTGTGGGTGTGACGCGGGCGCCAGGCGCTGTTCCTGAACTGTCTCGGCATGAAGACCCTCCCCCTGCAGGGGGGGTGGGGGGGACAGGAGCAGGTCAGAGCGACCTCTCAGGGCCTGGCTGCTCCGGGATGCAGACGGTGGACTGGAATGTACCAACTCTGCTGGCCATGGCTGAGTCTCAGCAAGATGGTGTATCAGCAGCTCCTAATGACATCATGTTTTCCCTTGTGTGACAGCGCTGGGCGTGTGCCTCACCCCGCCCCCCCATGACCAAGGGAGGAAAATAAAATGGAATTTAAACCTTATCCCTGACAAGGTTTAACCCTGAAATCGGTACTCTGAGAAGTCTCGGGTTTGTCCGCTAGGGCGGGGCGCTGAGAGATCTTACCTCTCCTCCAGCTCTTCTCCAAGGAAGCCCAGCTCCTCCTGGGCTTGGCTTTGGAAGTGATGGGCAGTCCTCTCCTCTGGTCAGCACTTCCGGAAAGGGCCTGCGACACACATTCCTACAGAGATGACCTCAGGGGAGGGGAGGGGAGGGGACCTCAGGGGAGGGGGAGGGGACCTCAGGTCTCCCCTATTCAGCTTCTGCCTCTCAGGAGGCTCCCAGGCTTCGGAGGTAACTGGAGCCCCTGGCTCCTGGGCTCTGGTAGCTCACTGCCCTTCCTCTAACATGGGAAGGATCTGGGCTGGCTCTCCGGCCTCTGAATCATGCACTTACTTTCCTTGGCTCTGTCTGAAAAGGCCACATCGTTTTTTTCTGGAAGCTACACAGCCACCTCTCAGCGCTGGGAATGGCTGATTTTCATGATGCGTTTCTCTACCAGTTTATTTCTAAAGTTGCCCCCGCTCCCTCCCTGCCGCTGGGTGTTGGGGGACACAGAGGCCAGTCTGTGGGAGTCTGTGGGGGCCCCTAGCTGTTCTTTCTCCCTGAGAAGTTGGGGGGACCCTCAGTTTCTCCCTCGAGTGGTTTGAATGGTTTCGCTGGAAAGGGGCAGGCAGCCCGGCCCGGGAGGGGGACGCGGGGCGGGCGCCCGGGGGGGCGGCGGCGACCTGGGCCTTTGTGCGGCCCGCGGGTTGGCTCCCGGGCTCCCGATCGCGACCCGCCCCGAGAGTGTTGAGGAACAAAATTTATTGGCCCCCACGGGAAGTGCTTTTTACAGTGGAAAATCCTATTTCCATGTTTTTTACCTTTTTTTTTTTCTTTGTGTT